TCTCTCTCTCTCTCTCTCTCTCTCTCTCTCTCTCTCTCTCTCTCTCTATCTCTCTCTTGCTCGCTTTTAATACCATTATCAGAATAAATGTCTAAGTCAAATCAACTCGACTCGACTCGACTCGACTCGACTCGACTCGACTCAAATAATGAAAAACATTCTATTTACATTCGATTCAATTCGATTTGAATGTGATAACAATAAAAAAGCGAGCAACCAAAATGATAAAATTTTGACGAGAGTGAGAGACAGAGATATGGTAGAATGAAGCAGAACAGAACCAAATGGAGATGAAAAAAATTTGTTGAAAATTAAACAATATTGAAAATCGTGAAGAAATAACGCCATGAGCCGCCATGTGTCGCGTATATGATGTCATACGACTGTTCAAATGTTTTCCTTTTGCTGCTAGATCGCGCGTGCACATCAAGGCATGTTTTTCCATGTTGTTGTTGTAATTTTATTTTTATTATTCTATGAAATTAAATAATTCGATCTTCATCGATCGCAATCTTTTGTCGTTTCCATTTTCAATTTTTTTCTTCATCTTCTCCTCTTTGTGTCTATTTAATCAAACACTTGATAATTTCATAGTGAAGTTTGCCCGACCAAATAGCTTACGCTGATGACAGCAACAACAACAACCATAATACGAATAATAACAATAATATGTACAAATAAAATCTATGCAAACAATCAAAAAAGACGATGAATTTTTTGACTAATTACACCAACAAGTGGAATTATTATTTTAAGAATATTATTGTTGAAACAGCAATTGAGCAAATTGTAAAATAAACAACACACATTTTGTGTTCGCTTTCAACCTGATACGCATTTTTCGGTTTGAATTTAACAATTTGATATAAATTGGCGTGAACACATTTTTTTTTGTCATTTTTCGTTGTTTGATGGTGTTTCGAATGCATGGACGATGATGAAAAAAAATATTCAGCCTCATCCGTTACCATGCCGTGACGAAGATTCGAACTCCGGTTACTACGGCCACAACGTAGGGTCCTAACCACTAGACGATCACGGCTATGAGAGGCCTGTGTCTGTCACATTCACAAACTGTTTCTTAAACTCACGCACACGCGCACACACCGGTTTAACTGTGATGCTGAATTTTTGATTGCTACTTTTTCGAACGCGTGGCCGAACTGAAACCTTTCACTTATTGCTCTTGAGTATTTGAACATTGGACAAATATTTCTAAGCAATTGTATAGAAAACTCTACAGTTTGGAATTGAATTGTCTGTTTTCTTTGTTTCCTTTGACTTATTCGCATTTTACTTATGATTTTGTGAACTCAAACCTTGAGTCTCATACATTTGTAACACACCACATTTTGGCTCACAGTGTTTTTTTTATAAAAAATAAAATCCACGCAAATATGAGTGGCATGAACATGAAAAATAGTTACAATTGATGACTTTTATGTGAATGGTTGGGAAAAAAAATTGGTGGTCTCATCCATTACCATGTTTCAGGTAATGTTGCCGTGACGAAG